AATAACAGTTTGGCGTGTTGGATAATAAATAACTTATTAGACGTTTTGTTGTGTAGTATCGCTGAGCATTTTTACTCGTTATTTGTATTTTGACTCGCCCTACGGGCTCGTCAAAATACGGCACAACTCGTAAAAATACTCAGCGATACTACACAACAAAACGTCTAAGAAGATATATGTATTTCATTTCATTTTGTTTTTACGACAATCAATCGAAAAGCGCTCTTAAGAGACCAGATTTCTACGTAAGTTTCTAGAGTACAATCTCTCATTGTGGTCATAGCAATAGCACGTATTACAAATAACTCTATTAATGTCCTCGCCACAAAATTCTCTGTAGCTCAGTGGTATAGTATCCGATGTAACTCGCTAGGTTACAGATCCTCAAAGAAATTGTTTTTTTTTTCCTATGTCATGTTTCTGTTAAAGGTTCAACTTCTTAAAAAGCTTCTTGTTATCCTCGTTCTCAGGTCGAGGCAGACCACGATGAAGACGAGCAACCTTCGAGTTCCAAGAAAGGACGAAGAAAACCAGCGTATGCTGGAGGACTGGTACTAGACCCTAAGAAAGGTATCTAATCTTTTTTCTCTGTACTGTGATTGGTCTAGAAAACCATTTAGATGCTAAAGTAAATCACTTGCGGTGTGGTCACTAGCGTTTTCACGCGCTACGTGCAGTTTGCTTGTGTTTTCATATATCAAGTTCTCAATGGCTATTTTTTTTTTAAACCTTTTGTAAAAAAATCTAACAGCAAAAACATGAGTTTGCTAGAGTCCAAACTCCGTAAAAATATGTATTAACCGGTTAAAAAAGCTAGAACATTCGGCGAGAACGAAGACTCGAAAAACGGCAACCAAACTAACTCCATAAAAAAATTTAATAAAAAAATGCAAGATACGCGCGAAATGACCGCGTCAGTTTCAATGTCAAAGTTAAAGTTCTTTGACATGATTGGTTAATTTGTAAAATCACGCGCGCTTAAATACAAAAATAATAACTTTGGTTTTAGTTATACAACACTCATTCCAAACCCACTCCTTTTCTACTTTTCTTCTAGGTTTCTACGACAAGCATATCCTGTTGTTGGATTTCAACAGTTTATACCCGTCGATCATACAGGAATACAACATTTGCTTTACAACAATCAACAGAACAAGCTTCAAATCCAAAGGGGTGAGTTGCATTCAGTGTGATCGCTTCATCTTCATTTGTTGAATTATGCCTATGAATTGATGCTTACCAAGTTTTGCTAAGTATTTCGTCGAACACTATATGTAGAAATTCTCTTTCGTATTTAAATTTTAATTTTCAATTCTCCACTTCCTCTCCCCCCTTTGTATTATTTTTGTATTCACGCGCCATTTTAAGAATTAGCCAATCACGTCAACGAACTTTAACCTTGACATTAAAAATTGACCTTTTTTGAGATTTTTCTTGCATCTTTTGTTCTTTGTTTTACGGAGTTAGTTTTTTTTTGTTTGTTTTTTGAGTTTTCGTTCAAGCCAATTTGTTATTCCTCAGTTTGGAATTTTTAAGAACTTTCTTATTTTTAATTGAATCCCACTGATTTAGTTGTTTTAACACATATTTTGTCAAGACATATTTCAACGAGGTCTGGACTCTAGCGTCTTTTTTCGCTATTGGATTTTTTACACTATCTTTCAGTCAAAGATTGTTCTTGTCAGTTTTTAGGGCTTCCTTAGTCTAGACCATATCATTTTACAATTAAATTTATCAAACAACAACAAACATATGTGTGAACTGCGGTTATGAGACGTATATGAGAACGATCCTTCGCAGTAAAGCACTATTTGAGCAATAGTGAAAATCAGACCTGAAAAAAATTTCAGGCCTGTACGGGACTCGAACCACTGACCTCTGCGATACTAGTGCAGCGCTCTACCAATTGAGCTAACAAGCCAACTGGGAGCAGGCCATCAAATTAATTCGATATAAACCCGTAGATGATAAATCAAACAACAACAAACATATGAAACATATGTGTGAACTGCGGTTATGAGACGTATATGAGAACGATCCTTCGCAGTAAAGCACTATTTGAGCAATAGTGAAAATCAGACCTGAAAAAAATTTCAGGCCTGTACGGGA